TAAGGCCTTCTCGTGGACCACCATGAGAATTTCGGGGGGGGGGGGGCTGAAGCCCCTCAAGCCCCCCCCCCCCCCCGGCTACATGCCTGGTCTCATGGGAACTCATGGGAATCAGGCTATCCTCTGACCCCTCCCTTCCCTTTACCACCTCACCACAAAGTTAACAATTAAAGAAACACCCCAAAAAAGTAATTCCTTCCCAGACCCTAAGGCTCCTATAGAACTGTGAAGGATGAACACAAAGAGGCCAGGGGCAGGCTGCCTTAAATAGCCTAAACCAGGTAGAGTCTACAAAGAACCCCTCACTCCCCCTAGCTAGGCCTCCTACCACATTGTGAGGTAGTCAAACAGCAAACACCATCGCAACATAAAACAAGCCTGAGTTTGGCTTGCAGGTGGTATTGGACAGAGCTCAAAAAGGTTCCACAAAATATTGAACATACCAAATTCAGCATCAGACCCAATAATGCTAATATACAACACTCATGATAACAAAATGGAGGTCCATCATTTTGGTGACCTGTGTTTATGCCAACTGCATCCATGTGTAATTGGAGTAATGCAAAGCAATAAAATATAGGCAGAACACTATATAAAAGCATCAGCAACTAAAAATCAATATTATTCAGCAACCATGGTTCAGGAGTGTCATTCAAAAATCTGATGGTGCTGAGAATTGCTTCCCAAGAAGAATCTGATATACTGCCATTGGAGGAGAACCCCTGCAAAGGAAATTCCTGCACTGTCTTAGCAAGAGTGAAAATAGACAAATGCTATATGGCCCCTGGCTCTTTGAAATTGTGCTTGGGATTGATTGTCTTTGGATAGAGCCTGGCCTTTTGCTCTGAAGTAGAAGGACAAAAACATTATGTTAGGAACATTATCTCCACCACCAATTCTGCTTAATGACATTAATTTTCTTGTTAGCAATTTTTATTACCGTGGTAAAGGTTATTTTTCCTTCTCAACAACATATTACTTTTTTAAATGGAGGAGAAAGAGAAAGCTGAAGTCTCTATTTCCTGTGGCAATTACACAATGGATTGTTTGTGTATAAGATTTTTCTCCTGAGGTGAGGACAAAAAAAACACCAAATGATGAATTCTCATGATCTGTGGGTCAGTGTACAATGCATTTCCACAGGAAAGAAACCATGTATCTTTTCAAAGTCATGCTTGCTCCTGGGAGGATTAGGATAATTCAGTTTGTTTGCGATGTCTGGTAATTTATTTAGTTTCCCAATGAGGGGCCATAACATTTTGTTTGCTATTTTCAAATTGGAGTTTTTTCCATAGAGGCCAGCAAGTGGGATCTAGAAGTAGTGGAGCTAGTTATCATGAACAAATGTTGAAGACTGCCTGGTGGGTATTGAAAATGGAGTCGTGTTTAAAGAAAATTAAGGGATGAGAGAAAGCAGCAATGAAGTTGGGGAAATGCAGCAGGGAAGAAAATACTGCAATCCTTAGATATTTCTGAAAAGAGATTCAAATTTATAATCTATTTTTGACAAGCCCATGCCCAGTCCCCACCCTCTCTCATTTTGATTGCCCATACAGTCCTGGTTTTGATTACTGAGACTGGTTTCGATTTTTGTAATGATGTTTATATATTTTATTATTTTAATTGTTTAATTACCTTGTTATGTGTTTATCTGCATTTTCAATGTGTTTTTATTTGGTTCACTCTGTTATTAATGAGCTTGACTCCGTTTGTAAACTGCCCCGAGTCCCTTTGGGGAGATGGTGGTGGTGGTGGGATATAAAAATAAAGTTGTTGTTATTATTATCTTATTTTTATTGAAGCCTTTAGAGCTCAATCTGGGTACATCTTAAGTGTGCCCATGTATGGCACTTAAACGGTTTTCAGACTTTTTTGTGCTTTAACTTGGTGATTTATTGAATATGCTTTTATCCCATTTGAATTATTTGGTGGTTTTTTTTTTAAAAAAAATGTTATTAAATTCCTTTAGTGTCTTAATTGTATGCCTCCCTGAGATTTCACAGTAGCAGACAGGATACAAATATTTTGATAGACACAGATAGATTTAAATCCATATAATATCTAACTACCAGGCATGCCGACTAAGACTGTTGAGGATTACAGTTCAACAAAATTGAAAATAGCTAGATTAATTATTTTTTTTGGGGGGGGGGCAGGGGTTGTTTTAACTGTTACTTGAAATTACATTGTTTCGACTGCCTGTATAATGTCCAAAGAAAAGGTGAACACAGTAGCAATGGAAAAACAATTATGGCAATTTCATTGAAATACATGGACTGTAAAATATTAACAAAATGTCAGCAGGATGCCATTAAATCACCAAGTTGACATATATAATTACAATGGTGGGTAGCTCAGTGGCCTCACTATGTTTAACACAGTAGTAACTATGTTTAACATAGTGAGGCCATGAAAACATTTAACGTATATCTAATGAGGTGTATCTAATGAGCTATAGTCTTTAATAATGGGGTTGCAGTATCAGAGTTCACATATCAGATAACACCATATACAATTTTTTTAAAAAAAATAGCCTCTGCATATTTTATTCTGACATTTATTTATATGAGGAAGACAGGTGGAGTTTGGAAAATGGCACTGGAAACATGATTATGGCTTGGTGAATGGGTTTTGATTAAGAAAGCTGGGCGAGGGCAAAAGAAATTTATTTATCGTGTCATCCGCAACCAGAACATTGTATTACATTTCTAACAGAACAAAACAAACAAACAGATAAAAAACACAAATTTTGCAAACTTGGTAGCTGATTAAATGTCCTTTGACCAGTATCTGGCCACTTGGAGTGCCTCTGGTGTTGCCGCAAGAAGGTCCTCCATCGTGCATGTGGCAGGACTCAGGGTGCATTGCAGCAGGTGGTCAGTGGTTTGCTCTCTCCACACTCGCATGTCGAGGATTCCACTTTGTAGCCCCATTTCTGAAGGTTGGCTCTGCATCTTGTGGTGCCAGAGTGCAGTCTGTTCAGCGCCTTCCAAGTCGCCCAGTCCTCTGTGTGCCCAGGGGGGAGTCTCTCATTGGTATCAGCCATTGGTTGAGGTTCTGGGTTTGAGCCTGCCACTTTTGGACTCTCGCTTGCTGAGGTGTTCCAGCGAGTGTCTCTGTAGATCTTAGAAAACTATTTCTTGATTTAAGTCGTTGACATGCTGGCTGATACCCAAACAAGGGATGAGCTGGAGATGTCTCTGCCTTGGTCCTTTCTCTATTGGCTGCTACTTCCCGGTGGATGTCAAGCAACTTGCTTGTCGTTGCTTCTGTGTTGAGAATATGGCAAAATAAATGAACCATGACGATATTTAAATGCATTAGATCATTTGTCTTAAGGTGTGTCAGCCTGAAACTTGCTTTTCATACTTTTTAAAAATAGAATACTGAAATAACTTTCAGTTTCAATATGTACATGTATAGTCAGAGGTGGCCGTAGGTAATTTTCAATGGTAAGCAAACAGTATTTTGGTGCCCCCCCCCCAACTAATCATGATATATATTTTCTATTCGTCATGGGAGTTCTGTGTGCCATATTTGGTTCAATTCTAACATTGGTGGAGTTCAGAATGCTCTTTGATTTTAGGTGAACTATACATCCCAGTAACTACAACTCGCATATGGCAAGGTCTATTTTCCCCCAACAGCGCCTCAAGAGCGCCCCTGGGCAAAATCAACTGTACTGCAAATGCTTACACAGCCGCCCTTGTGTATAGTACTGCTCCAGTATAAAGATTACTGCTTTTAAGGCTTGCCAAAGTCTACCAGTGTTAAGATGCATATAGGAACCAAAGCCAATTCTTCTTGGCAACTGAGATGGAAAATCTCCACCTTCCTATAAGCAAAAATTAAAGAACTAAATATTCCCTGCCTTTTTTTCATAGCACCCAAACTCTATCTGAAGTATTCCATCTAATGGCCCTACAAGCTGTCAGCTTCCATTTTGCTCATCAAATCATTTTGCTCATACATCTTTGTACATTTGCACTGAGGAAATCTGTGTCCCCTTTCACACAGCTGAATACAATCCCACATTATCTGCTTTGAACTGAAATACTTGTATATGGCAGTGTGGACTCAGATAACCCAGTATCTGAGAAAAGCAGATTCCACCTGAACATGAGGTAGAACTTCCTAACTGTGAGAACAGTGGAACTCTCTGCCCCGGAGTGTGGTAGAGGTTCCTTCTTTAGAGGTTTTTAAACAGAGGCTGGATGGCCATCTGTTGAGAGTACTTTGAATGTGATTTCCTGCTTCTAGGCATGCAGTTGGACTGGATGGCCCACAAGGTCTCTTCCAACTCAATGATGCTATAATTTTCTGCCTTGATATTCTGAGTTATATGGCTGTGTAGTAGGGCCTTAGATATGATCATATCAGGCAATGCAAGCCATCTTCACCCCATTGGACCAAAAGATTTGAAAACCGATGTTAGACATAGCGGTTGAGAATGTTTCTTTTCTTTCTCCTCCTTGCCCATGACTACAAGTAACCCCAGCCTTATCTTATCTGTTATCCTTGATGGATAAAATGCAAAAGCTTCTCTGAAAGTGTGTGAAACTAATCAATTCCCTACCAGCTCTTGCTGATCCAGATGAATGCCTGAGACTATGTTTTCCAATCAGGATGGGAATGGCTTTAAAAAGACTTTGGCAGTCAGCAGTAATAAGCGCTATTGGTCTGCCTACAGCTGCCACCCAAGATTTCTTGTTTACTTTTTAAAGAATCATTGTAATTAATGCCTCTCTCATTTCTCTGGTGAGGCAGCTCTTATTGAAGGCTCCTTGAAATGTCTCTGGCACGCAGTGGACCTCAGCAGATTCAAGGAGGATTTACTAAAGCTTGCAAATCCCAAAGTTTAAGACTTCTTCACTTCCAAATTACTTTTTGCCCTTAAGTATGCAAAACTTTTCCATGATGAAAGTGCAGAAAGACTTCAGGAAAGAAGTCTCAACATTTCCTCATCTGCTACCCTTGTTAACTACTATGTCATGTTGCAGGTATCTGTGATCCCATGTGCATGAATGGAGGACGATGCATAAGCCCTGCTGTCTGTGACTGCCCATCTGGTTGGAAAGGAAAGCACTGCAGTAAACGTGAGTCTGAGCAACCTCCCATAACAGCGATGCTATTTGTTTATCACTTAGGCCTGCCAGCATGAATCGTAATCTGTTTTAGTGCCAGCAAGCCATACACCAAATGATCTAGTTTTGCTGCTTCAGGATTTCAAGGAGAAAATGGTTTTATGTATTGGCATAATGCAAATTGACACAAATGTTTTACGTTTTCAAATATAAAGCATTTCTAAAAAGAAAAAAGCCTGCATGCAACTGTCTGTCTGTTATGCAGATGATTTTTTTTTCCTTTGCAGAAATTCATTTTCCCCCCACCATAGCATTAAATTTGAAATATTGATTTTTGGTTTTAGCAGCTACATGCATTTTGTTATATTTTACAGAGTAATGACGCATATTTCAAATCCAGTACTATTTAAAGCACAGAGTAAAAAGTGTTTCCATCCTGATATATTCTCAAGGTCATCACAGGCATGTTTATTTCAGAACATAATTTCTGCCGATGGTGTGGGTTTTTGGTCTATTTGTTTGTTTAAACACTATTAAAGCTAACCACATTTGACTGCAGTTTACTGGGGGAAAATATATTCCAAATAAGTCATCTAATCTGAAAAGGCTTGGAAAATATTCCCCCCACTTCCACAGTTACATGGTTATTCATTATTATTCATTCACAGATAAGCTGAATAAATTTTAGATCAAGATAACACACTATATAGAGGACTTGTTAATATATATCAGCTTGATGCCCTCCCCAAGTGACCTCCTGATAATACAAATCATGATTCTGAGCAGGGTTTAATTCCAGGATCTTGTCAAGACAGAATGTCAGTCACTTCTTGGATTCTTAAGTGATAAGGGTAAACACAGCAGAGCTGCACCAAACTGGCAAAGACCATTTTCTGTTATTTTTGCCCACTACCAAAAAAAGAGGCTGTTTTGTTTCAGCCATAGAAGGGTAGGGGGAGGCAAAATAGCTTAGGCTGAGAAGAGAACTGGAACATCTGCCAGTCAGTTCTCTCCAGAAAGCTCTGTTCTGGTATGTTTTCTTTAATGCCATTTTGGGGGAATTCAAAAAGTCTGGTTTTTTTCATCTCTCAAAGTGGACAGTATTATAAAATCTACAGAAAAAAAATACTTGTATAGAGTAGGTGGATTCTTCTTCTAGTGGCTCAATTTATTAAAGATGTGCAATGTTAAATATGTCTCAAAAAATGACAGTGATTCAAGCAAGCTTGTTGAAAAACAATGAAGCTTCAATATCTTTTTATAATGCAGCTGTATTTTTGTACCTTAACTAAAGAGGATAGATGAGTTCTTTTCTTTTTCCTGTATTACTATGTCTTGTAAAAAGCTGCAAAATACTTACTGTAAGTGAAAAAATAGGGGGGGGGGGGGACTAATAAGAAGTATACTATAGCATTTGTGGATCAATAATGAAGAATGAGTCTGAGATAAATATGCAAAAAATATTTGTGTCTTTTAATGGGTACAAAGGTTGGCAAATCCAGGCCAGGCTGAAGCGGAGCCCTGAAGATGGCCACACGTACACTAATGAACCCATGGCACTGGCCCAGAAGATGGCCACACGTACTCTCATGATCCAATGGCACAAGCCCTGGAGATGTCCACATGTGCTCTCATGAACCCATGCACTGGCCCTGAAGATGGCCACACATGTCCGCATGAACCCATGACAGTGCTTGGTCAGAGTCCAAATGGCCCTCGCAAGCTGAGCAGCATTGGCCCTCCTTGACAATCTCATTACTGTCTGTGTCAACATCATAATTCCCAGACAGCCACAGATCCCTGTGTGAACTCCTGCCCATCATGGGTGCCCCATGGTGACAGCAACAGTAGCATTTGCATGACCAAGGGAAAGGAGAAATCTCCCCACTTTCTTGGTCATATAAGCGCTTCTGCTGATGTCAGCAATGGATGTCTGCAATTGCCAAACATTCACACTGGGTTCTTGGTCATCTTGGAGGAGTGGCGTGGGAATGATCCAGTCTCTTTTACTTGCACTGAAAAATGACAGTACCCTAAGTCGATGTTGGACTGGACTAAATTGGTCCCAGTCCTGCTGTCCACACTGGCCCAAGGCTGTTGGGTTAATTTGGTTAATTTGAAGCACCCCCTGGTTTTTCCTCATGTGGGGCAAAACTTGATGAACTTGGTTTATCCCACAATATTTACTGGAAGTGCAGGGACATTGTGGAGACAGCCAGAAGTGAACTCAGCATGATTCCAGGTTGTAATGTCCATGTAGATGACCCCTATTACTCAACTCTCCTGAGTTTAATGGAATCTACTCACAAGAAAAAAGTGCTTGTTAGGAAAAATGTTGTTGAAAAGGTTACTGCAAAAAAGCAATTTTTCCTGAGATTGACTGATCCGAGAAAGAGTTACTGAAAATGTTTGTAACCACTTTTTTACTCTCTCTGCCTAATCATTGTCTATCAGTTTTCAACAATTCCTTGATTGCCAAAATACCTAAATCATTGTAATTTTATTGCAACCAAAATGGCACAGACCCAATTCTGCATGAGTAAAGGCATGAGTCTTCCATCTCTTCCCCACACCTTTTCCAATGGAAGATCATGGAGGCACGCCTAAGCAGTGGCATTATGGCTAACCAATGGCAAGAGACAGATTTTTATAATGCCTTCACAATTTTATATCATGTGGTTTTTAATTGTTTCAGGAAATGTCATTCTTTGATATCTGGTTGCTTCACATTTTGGGTCACTGCTTTGACAATTTACCCTAGAATGTGATATTTTTAAAAACAAAAACCAAAACAAAAACTGGAAGCTCATCCCAAATCATCTAGTAGTACAAGCAATTCAGTAACATTTGCTGTGAATGTCCTTTCATTTGGTGCAATGATACTATTTCCCTTGCATAGAAGAATGTTTCAATTACTCTAACTCTGTCATGTAACTGAAACTCTCCACCCATCAGTTACATTTCTCCCTGACCTTCACTCCATCCCCTTGACCTTACTGGGAATGTCTAATGATCTCTCAGCCCAGGAAAAGTAAAAATCATTTGTTGAATAAAGGCAGGTTCTCACTTACAGACTAGCAATGCAAACATTGTTGATTAAGATAACTTAAGTAATTGTTCTCGCTTGTATGATCTATCCTTAAAGCTGTCACATTCTTCTGCTGTGCTTGGACTTCATACTGCAAATCCTTGGTCTTTGTCCATAGCTGTAGCTTGAAGTCCAAAACACCTGGAGAGACACTACTGCTCAAAAGTGCAGTGATTGGATTAAAATATAATGAAATATCCACATGTTCAGTCTGAAAATAATGGGTTACTCAGTTAATCACACCCATCAATCAATTAAGACTGTCAGCACTAATAGAAAATGAAATTTTAATGACTGGGGAATCTGCCATTGGAGCAACTCTGTGATGAAACTAGAAGTCAGACTATGAGAGATTAAGGAGAATTTCCTAATCAGGGAAATTTCAGACTCTTAATTGCCTCATGAAGAATGCTCATTAAGCTCTTTTGAGATTCAACCACTTCGAAAGTAATTGTGGGAAGCTAACATATGACATGCCATTCACAGAAAGGACTTAAGGACACATGGGGACATTACACTGATGTTCCCTCATTTTCTCCCCTCCACTTATTTCTTTTCAGCTGTTTGTTTGCCTAGCTGCTTGAATGGCGGTGAGTGTATTGGACCAAATGTTTGCCAGTGTTCAGAAGGATGGGTAGGAGTTCTATGTCAGATTCGTAAGTATTGTTACATTTCAGAGTCTGTTTTGTTTGTTTTCAAAAAGGGTTCAGTATGTTTCTAGTTTGAACAACAAATAAAGAGTGGTTCTACACAGGCCATATAATATAGTTTGAAGCTAGCTCCACAAAAGCTCTCAATGAGAGCTGTAGCATGCACTAAGCCAGCCCTTTTGTTCTCATTTCCTCCAACTGACCATGGTCTAGGGCCAATCCCAAATGGACATAATGATGCACATCAGCACATCTCAGCAGATTGGGTAAGAAAAAATAATAATCCTGGGTTCAGTACCAATCTGTAACAAGTGGATAATTATTGTGGCCACCATCCCTCCTTCAATTCAGCATCTTTTAAACCAGTTCCTACTTCAGGTTTATAACTACTCTTTGCCATTATTTTTTAGGGGTCCTCAAGAATTCTTTTGGCCAATGGATTTCTTTGGGTATTGGACTTCTTCATATTTACCACAGAACCAATGGATGCTGTTTTCAGGATCCAAAATAACAGCTAGACTTCTTATAAATCGAGATAATTTCACATTAGCTCTGTTCATGTTGATTTTCTGGTGGGGAGGAGAGCTATTAGGGTTTCAGGTCCTATGCTTGAGCAATCCACTTCTGTATTGCCACTTGAACCGATTACACTGGATCAAAATTGTGCATGCCTAAATATAGCCACATCTTCAGTTTTGAAGTGTTCTTAAGTGTACAACAGAACTTGGGCCAATACAGATACAATGCTCATGGATAATGTTTATGCATCTACCTGAATGTTTGCAATTTGGGTGTTGGACTTCATATCATGATCTTGGTCTCATAAGTCTTCCTTGGTTATTTGCATTCACACAAAGAGGGGTTAGCCAAAATTCTGTGCTGTAAACAGGCACAGCCCCAGTTCTGGGAGGGAATTGGGATTTACCTGCCAGTGGGCGAGTGAATTCATCCTAGCTTTTAGTTGAAAAGAACTATCCAATACCCCAGATCCTATCCTCCAAAATAGGTTGAAGAGTTTGAACCTCTAAACTTCAAGCTAAAACCACTTCCACTCCATTAACATGGAAGTCACCAGCAGTTACTTTATGTTACCACCGAAGTCTAGAAATTGTTTCTCTGTGTCCTATTTGAACCCTTCTCAAGTAAAAAGGGAATTAATTAAAAGATGGCTGTAACAAATATACAGAAGCAACCTGGGGTATCCCTGGTAAATTTGTTTCTTACTACTACTAGAACATATGCGTCAAGATACAGACACCACAAAGTCAGTCCCAAGTGCAAAGTAACAATAGTTTATTGAAGGTACAGCTCAAAAGAACCAAAAATGCTTAACAGCAGCAAAATAGCATTCCAAAACAAAACACAGACCAACTGGTCAAAAAGGAGACAAATCAGAAAGTCCCAATTCCTAAAAATCCCAACCTACTAACCAAAAAAACACAGCAAAGGAAAGAACACTCGCTATTGTTTTCAGCGAGCACGTTCCAGGGTGTAGCAAAGTCGTAGTCAAGCCGGTCCAGGGGTCATCAACAGCAAACAGGATACCACAGCAGCAGTGTCAAATGTCCAATCCAAGGTCAGGGCAGAAGAGTGGAAGCAATGTCCAGAAGCAATCCAAGGTCCAAGCCAAAACAGTAGCAGAGGGTCCAAGAAGTTCTGGAATCACAACCCAGCATAGCAGGCAACCCAGCAAACACTTTGCCAGTCGCAAAGTCCCCATTGCAACCAACCCTCCTTATATTACAAACTTTCCTCTGAGCTGCAATGAGACAACATCCCACCCTCAGCTGCTCCTGCATTCTCCTCCAAACTAGAATCAGACAACACCCCACCCTCAGCTGCCAGATGTGCTGCTCGGGCTGCTCTTTGCCTTGCCTGCCAAGAGGTCCGTCTCCTGCTTCTACTTACCTCTTCCCAAAGAGTAGACAAATCATCCTCCTTCCAAGTTTCATCCCCAGCAAACCCTCTGAATGTGTCACTACTTGTAGGCTCCTCACTCACTTCTCTCACTTCTGCTACTTTAGTCCAATCCATCTCATCCCCAACCCCATCAGTGTCACTCCCAGCACTTCTCATAGAATCTGCTTCATTGCCAAACCCATCATACCCATCAAAACCTTCAAAAGACCCTTCATCAGTGGGTTCAGCAAGTATTTGCCAAATTCTCTTCTGCTCTTGCTCTTCAATAGATTCTTAGTCCCGAGTAGACCTTTTTGCCTGTCTAGTCTCCAACTCCCTGTTGTTACTACTATTCAGAGACTCATCCACAACAATCTGCATGCTGCTACTGTCTACCTCAGACATGCTGGCACTGTCCATTATTCTGAAGATATGTGTTTACCATGCATATAGCTGTCAATGATATAACAATTTATAAATGATGCATCGATTTCACTATACTGAGTTATTTATTGACAATTTTATGCCTGTTCCCAAAACAAGGATCCTCAAGTATCTGATTAAAATCTTTAGTCCAGGCTTTCCCTTTCATCTTTTCTAACAAAAATGTCTTATATTTTCTTTTCTCCTTCAGGCACAAATAGTTAGAAATGACATTGTTTAATCTGTTTTACGTTGCTGAGGAAACAGTAATACCCAGATCCTCCTTGGTTTAGGAAACATGTGTTTACCCACAAATAAATCCTATTATATTGAATACCCCCAAGTAAGTTTGTCACTTTTTGTAGATTTACAATTATGGCAGAGGTTTTCTCCATGACTGAGATGCTTAAAAGAGGAAAGCCTTATATTTCTTCAAAAAAAGAAAATGGAAGTAAACAAGTTTGCAGTTACACAGAAATACATAGAAATGGCACATAGACACACTCAGACAGTATCTCATTATCATTTCATGCAGAAAGTATTTACATGGATAATGATAATCTGTAACTCTGGCCAATATAATTCTGCTGTTGGAAATGAATGACAGATTGCTAATAGCAATATTTATGAACACCCGCTGGCTTCCTAAGTTATGACTGATCTATGTCCTAATGTTTCCTCTTGGTTATGGACATTATACATCTTTTCATTATTGTTATTTTAATATTTTATACTCTGTTTTTCTTCATTGGAAAACAATCCCAAAATGATTCACAAGTTAAAACAATCAATAATTTAATCATCACAGAATAACTGCACAGTAGAAAACATTGTTGCCTTGCATCTTGTTGGTGAGTCCCCAGCTAGAACAGATCCATTTAATTAATTGTTGAATGTTGAGTCACCAAATAAGTGAGTCAACACACTTTCTATCCTTAAGAATAGCAGTGGGATTGGTGCCCTCCAAAATTCAGTGGTAGAAGTAAGAATAAGCAGTAAAAAAAAAATCTATGGTGCCAACAATAAATCAAAATGTTACATGTTAACAAAAAGGAAATGCTGTCACAATAATTAGGTTAAAACTTGAACAAAGAGGTAAATCAAGAGTCAGGTTCTGGACAAATGAATTAAACAGTTGGGCAAAATGAGATTAACCACTTAATCACATGGGGCTTTTCTAGCATCCTAGGATACTTCCCCACTAGCCCAATGATGGATGGGTGTGCTGCCCATCATGTGACATCACTGGAATTCCTGTGGAGGCCCTGTTCACAACTGGAGTGGAAGCATCTTAGGAAGCTTCCCTCCAAATATGAGAACTTGCTTTGGCAATGCTCCCCCCATGTGATGGGGGAAGCGTTGCTACAACAAAGAGACATGCAGGGTGACAGAGCCACCCCTCATCCCTGCTGTTTTGCCATGGAGGTTGGCGAAACAGTCCTGGGGAATTCTCCCATGTGAAGAAGTCCTTATATGCTGCACATAGTATCAGTAAAAAAAAAAAAAACCCAGCAATATCCACTGCATGAATCAGTTGCTGCTGCTTCTGTAGCAGTTGGGAGGTGTGTGTTTTTGTACATGTCTGTGCTATGTTTTCCTTTTGTTTATAAGCAGATCTATGCTTCTGGAAATGGCCCATGTTTTAAAATTCAGGGGGTATTTTTAAAAGTAAAGTAAAATGGTTGTTTTAGTTGTATCAATCCCAGTCCTTTTGAACCAGTAGCAGCCAGTATAGGCATCCTCACTTGAACAGTGCTTCCTAATTCTTGACATTACAAGGTATTCTATTTGGAAATATTCCATGAATTAATTATAAAATGGAGGAAGCCCATCATCATTATAGAGATTCATCATTACTGACCTCACTTACATTTATGCTAGAGATAATCTGTTCTAATATAATATTATTGAATGTGCACTAACTTTTTTTTAAAATTGTCCTTTGGGACAGGGCTGTAGCCAGAAAATTTTTTGGGAGAGGTTGAAATTTGGGGGGGGGGGGTTGAAAATTTCAGGGGGGGGGTGAAACCTGCCTCCTAGCTCACGCTGAAGCAAAGAGCACAGCAGGGGGCAGAGCAGCCTTCAATAGCCTGCAGCTCCACCCCTGTCAACTCACCTCCACCAAGTCTGGCCTCCTTAATGAGAGCATTCAACACCCCCCCCCCCCAACTTGGTTGCTTCGCTACATTGGCTATTGCTGCAAGTAATGACAGTGTGAATAAATTGTCAATATTTGCTTGAGATAGTGCTTGCAGTTCTGGAGGGACTCTTAATTTTTTGTATCTCATAGACTTAGCATGGGGATTTGGTTAACCAGTTAAAATTCATGAGTAAACCAGGTTTTTTTAAAAAAATCTGAAACATTTCGGGGGGGGGGGTTGAACCCCTAACCCCCCCCCCCCCCGCTACAGGCCTGCTTTGGGAATTCCTTATTATATATACACCTTTAAAACAGTAGCTTCATAATTTCCTGGATCTCTTGTTCCATCTGTCTTCTCCACACTTGCTCTCTGCTTTTCTATTTCATCCAGATAGCAAAAGTAAAGCTTTCAACCAAGGTTGTTATTTGCATGAAAATTAGTTCTTCATCTCTGCCCACCCACCCCTGACAACAGAACAAACTACTACTTTTCTTCTCCTTCTTGTCATTCTCCTCCTTTCCCTTGTCCTCTTCCTCCTCCCCA